GCCGGTTGGAGGTGCTAGTATAATAATAATAATAAGAGGAGGGGGAGTGGTCCAGTGTAATGGAGAAGAGATGAGATATCTTAAAGGAAGTGTGTACTTTATATCAGCTAATAATAATATACTTATTAATAATGATGATGATGATGATACTTTGTTATTTCAAGCTTATTGTGAGTTGTAAAATATTATTTTTATTATACTGATCTGCTCTGCAATATGCCATCGCTATAGCCAGTTGTTGATTATAATTATTGTTGTATTGTTATGTACATAAATAAACAATGATTGCTTCAGTTATGTACATGCACCACATACAATGCATATACCGGTAGTCAGCTTTAGTACCTAAGTTTAAGCCAAGTGACACTATTCTATTGACAGTCTAGTGAGTCTACATATAGTACGTTACAGTGGTATTACAGCACTGTAATGTATCAAATTCAATAGATTCCTAGCAGGAAGAAAGAGGCATGAAGACGAAGAGGGGGAGAGATAGTGGGAGTATGTTATTGATATGGAATAATCAAATTTGGACATAATTAAGTTGTACGGTATTTCATGCACCCACTTTTCTTTGCTCTATACTTTTTAATTAGTGACTGGATAAAGGAACTATACTCAAATGCATTTTGTAGCAATTCATCTTTATTCTCCATATGAGGTTCACTTTATGTGTGTACAAGTGATACTCAGAACCATCCCAATGTGAGTGATAGAAACTAGATAACTTAATGATATTCAGTGTTATTGCTTTATTCCATCTGTAACCTTTTCTGCTAGGCTTACGTTATTATCATATGTACAGAACACAATGTGAACAATGTCATATGATATTTATAGTCAGTTGTATACACTAGAACAAGTGACACTATTCCTGGACTCTTATCATTACACCATTTATACCATTGGTGTAAATGCTCAGCATTAAATTGAGAGAGGAAGAGGTGGAAACTGTGGAAAAGGGGGGAGACAAAGGGAGAGAAGCCATATCTTATGATATGAATTGACCAAATTTGTTCATAATAGTAGATTTTTGTACTACAGTTTATTTGTAGTTTTTAATTTAATATTAATTTTAATTTAATAATGTTTTTACAAGATGGGCAGGAGTATAAAGTACACTGAGTTTTTATGTGACAGTTATAAGTCTTATCATGGTAACATAAGTAACTGTGCATAAGTTACTCATATTATCCTAAAGATTAAGAGCGACACATACACTTGTCATCTGCTCTGCTAGGTCCCCATGCAGCCACCACTAATTTATGGGACAGGATAGCTCAGCGGTTGACAACTTGACATCAAGTTCCGGCACTCACTAATCTGTACTGCACTCTTCTTTCTACTTGGATCACATTTGCATGCTCTGTAAAGTGCAGAATACATGTACATAGTATGGAGGAGTATGGAGCCTGATTTTATGGAACATGCATTCATGCAATGAATGCATGACTCAAGTGGACTATGCCAGACTCAAAGTGGACTGAGTGAAAAGCGCACTGAGTATTACAGATTAGTGATGCTGAGCTAAATTATTAATAAGAAAATAGGTTAGAAATGAAAAAATAGGGTAGAGTAGGTTAGACAAAGTCACAAAAAATTAGCTTCTAGTACTGCAGAACTCGTGCACTTTTCATCATTGCTTGTTCCGTAAATCCCTCCCTTCCATTATACTGTATTTTGCAGTTTACGGAGCATTCCGTAAACTAGTGAGGAAGAAAATCAATTCTCAAGGAATACGGCGGTCGTATCTCGTGAAAATATTGAGTAGGCATCTGCCGGTGTATTCTCGACCAGGGCTAACTCTGTTTTCAGATATTTGTAAAGCCGAAAGGTTCATTAGTTCATCTGGGTAGGCTAGAAAATGACGGATAGTTTGAATCCTGTAAGTTCAGTCATTAAACCAATAGCCTTGTTTCTTTTATTTTGTTTAGACAATGCGGGAATCTAGTAGGATAATGCGAAAAATGCATGCGCAGCCTATCCAGTCTTAAGTTAAGGCTACTTAAATCATAAAATCCTAGATACATGGTTAGTCGGGGCCAGACTAAGATATTGGGCCAATGAGAGTGGATATTTTAGTCTCGCTCCCCTTCCCATCTACAGCAACAGTCATTGGGGCCTGGCTAGCGAGATTATTTGAATAAGCAAATAATTAATTTGTAAAGAATGCAATACTTAGGCTGCGTTTACACTACTCCACTCCACTGAATCCAAATAGTTTTTGGCCCGTTTTTGCTATCACTGGTTTTTGTTTACACTAATCCACCAGCTGCGTTTACATTTGAGCTTATCATTTGTTTACAGAAGTATCCGCTTAGGTATTTGTTTTCAAATGTCTCCGGATAAGTATGCGTTTTCATGTGTTTTAGTGTAAACGAAGGCTGTATCCGCGACAAAAAGTCTCCGTTTTCCAATGAAACCGGAGTAGTGTAAATGCAGCCTTAGTGAACTAGTTAATAGCCTACATGATGTGGCATGTCATGCAGGCCACGCTGCAAGCACAACAATGCAAGCCAGACGACTGTACATGCAGGCTTCCTAGCCCCCAAGTCTGCCACATGCTGCGGGATGATAGCCTATAAGTATTGGACAAATTTGTGCAGTAAAATAGCGGCTTTTGGTGACAAGCAGTGAAATGAAAATAAATCTGGTTAAAATGCTAATCAGTGTTATGGTTTCATAAAATGACAGTGTTCAATAATGATAATAATAATAATAAACAATACAGTTTTAGATAGATGCGTATTTATGTTTCTGCACACAAAAAGTGATGCATTAATAGTTTACTATAATTAATGCTATAGTCTGGGCATGACCATGTAGACTGTAGACAATACTATATATACTTTTACTTAGTGGGTTATACTTTAGGAGAAGCAATTATATGATGCCGCTAGGGATGGAAATACAGAGGGAATAAAGCTTGCTTTATCCAGGGGAGCAAATATTAATTGGAGCAATCCCAATGTGGTAACTATAAGTGGATTAACACAATCACACATGCATGCTATTACTTATTATTAGGGTAACTGGACACCATTGCATGTAGCAGCTTCTAGGAACAAGGTTCAGTCAATTTCCTTCCTGATCAAAGAAAATGCTGATAAGAATTGTGGAGACAAGGTACGTTGTACTTAATACTCTGCAAAGAAAATTTTTAAATTCCCTGTTATTCTGACATTAGTAATTTGATGTAATGGAGCAGTTGCTTGTGTTATAATAATAAAACAAACATTGTTTTGCTTAAGTTTTTAACACTCCAACTCATTCTTCAAATTTCATATGATTTTATATAGCTTGGGCAGACTCCTGTTATGTTGGCTGCAAGGTTTGGACACAAAGAGTCAGTGAGAGCACTGTTAAATGAAGGAGCAGATTACGCCATTACTGATAATGTAAGTTTTAATAACTGTAGAATTTAAATAATACATTTTGAAAGACTCAAAAGTGTATCATTACAAACTAGTCAAGAGATATGCATGGGTATATTTTCTATAACTTATTCTATTGGAAGGTTGGCTCAGTCATGGGTGTGTCTTGTTCAAATATGCATGAGTGCTAATTCACCCACATGGACCATATTTTGTTGCAAATAAATTTTTGTCATTTTTGTCAGTAGTTATCAAATGATAAAAAATATAGACAATGAAATTTCCAATTGTCTGTTAAGATAAACAAGAACAAGATGTGTCTTACTAGTGTTAGTGTTAGAAATGTCTTTGTTTAGCTACTTCTCATAGAAGTCTAAAGATACTGGAGCTGGCAAAAATTCTGATGCATTTCCTTTACCTATCTTTTAATGAAATAAGCGTGGCTGCTTCTTCTTGGACTATGACAAATTATTTTCAAATATCTACATTTAGTATCATTTTCCTTGAAGTGTTGTACAGTGTTAACCAAATTTGAAAGGGTAAAGCCCACACCTGCTAATTTGATTAAATTACCCATTTATATAATTATATATACTTCATTAAGAATCGCTCATTTCATTAAACCACCCATGCACTCAGTTAAGGAGGTACATGGCAGGCAGTAACTACTAATAAGAAGGCTAGCTACTCAGTGCATCACTGATCACTGTAGCTACATTATACCATAAGTGTAGAAATTTTCAAGGCAATAGATTTTGCTGTTTTGTGCTAGTTGCTTTATTTTGTACACAACCTATTGTTATTGCCTTAGAACAGGACTAATATCAGTCTGAATCAGACTGATATTGGTCCTGAATCATGGCTTTCATGTATCAGTCATAATACAACTGAATGTAAAAACATAGATATTAGAGTAAATGAAAGGGATTGTAAATGGGGCGGAGCAACAGGAAATGCAGGTTGGGTTACCATGTGACGACCATCAGTGTTTCGATTGTATTCCCATCTCTTCTATTGGGGAAGTTGCTCTGGAAGGATTTCCAAGGAATTTTGTGTTGCTCCAGGATAGCGCTTGCTTATGATATATTGCCTATTCCACATAAAATATTTAGAGCTACCTGCAGCAAGGTTTTTGTCTCTGTAAAGCCATTTTGCAACCAGTTATAGGTACACAAAGTCGCCTCTTTTTGAAACACTTTATTGTTCATAAAATACTCAAGCTTCATAGTATCAACATTTAAGTTAGCTCATTCCATAGGAGATTTCAAGCTCTTCAAAATCATAATACTTATTTACAGCTCAAGAACAAAATGAGTCTCTCAGAGGGAGAAAAGATAGTATTTTTAGTTAAAGAGTGACACAACTACTAACACATGCAATGATTTGCTTAACAAAAAATATTAGTAAAAAGTATAAACACTGGTTAGTATTGAGTGTGAGTTTTGTTTGCATAAATGGCATCCTCTTGGAGTTATTCAAAAATAAAGCAATAATATCTTGGATTTTTGCTCCAAAATCAGTCAAAAAATCCCAACCCGCCTCTGTTTACTTAACAACAATACAAATGAATGGAGGTTTGCCTATGCCCACGCTTCCATTCTCAATCCCTTTCATTTACTCTAGTATCTATGGTGAAAATCATTCACAATACAATCATGATTTTCCACAATACAATCATGATAAAATTTTACTGGTTCATTAGAGCTAGAATATCAGACTTCACTCTGAGACTTGGTCCATTATTTTGGGGCAAAAGTGCTGATTCAGGCATGATAACATTTGGCTGTGTAAATTTCGTGTAGAAAAAATTTTGCGGATAATCATAGAAGGTATTGTCAGTGACGTCAGCCTTTTCTTCAAATGAAAGTTTCTGGTACTCTCCTCATTTTCTACTTTACTCCTCCGGATCTTTAGCACACTAGCTGCTTGTGCTTCTTTCGCAACTTTATCCTCATTATTGTCTACATACTTAAAGAACCATACATACAAGTATGCATGGGACACTATGGTAATAATGCATCAACATGCTTAGCTCCTTTTAAAATGAAGCACCATGGTGCGTGGACTCGCCTGCTGAGATTCACCTGAGGGATAATGTGTTACTTGTACTCTGCCCCCATCATGATATTATATATATATATATAAGCAACTTGATATTTGAAAAAAGGATAATAGATTTTGACAAAGTGCAACAATGCAATTAGCCAATTACTGCACTGATCCATAAAATAAATTATAGGTGTGGTCAGCACCTAGATCTAGCAGTACAGTGCAGTGCAGATAAACATGGCACGTGGGTAGGAGAAAGAAGAAAAGCTGAAATTTATTTTAGCATCTGAAGCTCTATTCAAAGAAAGAGTAAGCACAAAAAATTGCCTAGATATTTAAAAGAGACTGAGATAGTTTGGTTGCTCTTGCTTTCCCCAGTTCTGCCTGAAAATTTTTCAAAGAGGCTAAATCACAAACTTTGAGCAACTGTAACTCGCAAACAAAAAAGAGATTAGAAAATCCCCACATATTTTTTAATCTAGGTACTTTTCTCTACCTATCAATGCTAATCTTGACCAAATAGAGTGAAACACGAAGATTTGGCTAGGAAAAGTGGTCTATTCTTGAAAATATTCAGCTTTTGCTACCACGGATTGCTATGAAAATACAACAGAGCTAAATAAATTATCTTTTTCTCAAAGCTTAAAAAGAATTATAGCTCAGGAGAGCTCAGTAAAAACGATATTGACTAGGAATTAACAGGAATTTTCGTGACAGAATGACAGACAGACAGAATGACAACCCAACTGCTTAGTACCCGCCTACGCAAGCGTGGCGAATCCAATTATTATTAAATCAATGCTAATGTTTCTCTTGTATAGACTGGCAATACTGCAATTGAGTTGGCTTATACTCATCCTGGTGTACTGCAAATACTAAGGGAGCATAAAGGTAAAATTATGATTTAGCTATCCATGCATATGTATCTTGTTTTCAAAACTTGTAAACCCTTGCTTATCACTTCCGTATCAGCTATTGATGTAAAACAAACTGGAAAGTTGCATAATTATGACTATTTTATTGAGCCAGTTGAATTATCTTAGATGGTATGTCACAAGCATGACCCTTTCTTCAATAGCATATTGTCATATGCCGAAATTTTGACCTTATGTCATAAATTATTTTGTGATATACTAACATAATAATAGCTAGTGGATTAATTTTGTGGATCTAATATTTTATAATTTGCCAGAGTCTTAGTCGGGCAATTTCGTAGTTTTAATTTTTGTGGTGACAGTATAGCTTGTAAGGGGATTTTGTGGGTATAAATTTTGTGGTAACCCCCAAAACCATGAAAACCACAGAAATGAAGTGCCGGAGAATTACGCACTATACAGTATGCAGTCAGCATATCAAATATCGTTTATTGGTTTTTTTTCTCAGTGGAATATTTTTACAAATTTTGCAGTTTCCGGCTATGTTGCGAAATTTTTCCACAGCAAAATTCTACATTTCCATTGCCACATGGTGCAGTCTGTAAGCTGTTCACAAAATCTTTAAAATGCAAGATTTATGACAATTTTCTACTGTAAAAATAAACCGGTATATGGTACTTTATAGCACTTATACATTATGTGGTGGTCAATATAAAATTTCATGATTTTGTTCTTGTTAAATAAAAATTTGCGTAAAATGAAGTAATTTATTCACTAAAAATTTGTAGAATGTGGCATGCAAAATTTAATGCAATTTAATTTTAACCTTTGTGAAATATATCATTTATGAAATGTAAGTACTATACGGTATACCTGTTCCAAATTTCAAAATGAGAGCGTGATATGCATAAGACTATTGCTTAAAATCCTTTCACTTTGGTTTCATGATCCCTCTTGTCTTTTAGCTGCATTTAATTTTAAATGGCCTGAAATGATTTTGGACATTTATGGAGCAAAATTTTGCATGAGTTTAAATTTGCACTTGAAACCATCAATGTGGCTAAAAATTAAAATGTATAAAAAAAGTTTTTTTAACTGCAACCATCAAAATTTACACAAATTTGCAAAATTTTATATTCACAAAATTATATCTCATATGGCAGTATTTTCAAGCATGCACAAGATCATTCATATTGTTCTTAAAAATACATGCATAATTTTATAAATTTGGTTCTATGACACAACCATGCATTATACCGTACAAGATGATTTATTGGTAAGAGCAATATTTGGCAAATTTGCCTGTAGAAAGTTATTAGCAAGTTTTATATTAGCAATTTTGTGGCATATGCCATTGAGCATGATCAGTTTGAAACAAAAATGGTGGATTTTATATTGGCGATTTCTTCATAGAACCGCCAATCGCCAATATCAATTCCTTGCCATTAAATCATCTTGTACGGTAATCTTTAGCTATCTAATTCTGTAAAACATTGTAATTGTAGAGGAACAAATAGCATTGCGAGAGAAAGAACAAGCTCTAATTGCAGCAGCGAGTGCGTTAGAGAAAGGTATGGAGGAAGGATTCATTACTCTATGTAACACCAAAATGACCATATGTGGTCCACCAGGTGTCGGCAAGACTGCATTCAACGACCTCCTCTTCAATCACCCGCCCCCTCTCAAACACCACAGTACTCCAATAGCCACTCGCCCTATACAAGCAATTCAGAGGATATCAGCCAAAGGAAAGGTCTGGGAGAAAGTATCTGAACAAGATCTTCTTGCTACATTATCAGATGCTATTCTCACCATAGACAAGGATGTTAAAAATGCTGCAAATACTAGTGTATCTTATGCTGCACCACGACCTATTGAAGAGCAGCAACCATCTACACAATCAGGAGCTGTTGCAGTAGCTCAATCCTTACCAGATGACACTAGTCCTCCCCAAGGACCATCAAAGACCAGGGATACCGACTACTACTCAAAGAAAATTCTTAATCATCTAGTTTCTGTCAAACAACACTGTCGTAAGCACTATGAAGCTCATTGGATTCATTTATTAGACAGTGGTGGACAGCCTCAGTTTTCTGACATGCTTCGTATATTCAATCGTGGCAGTTCGCTGTACATTATTGTAATGAAGGTAACGGAATCCCTTCATGACAAGCCTACATTTACTTACTCTATCAATGGTAAACCACTCAACACACCCAAAAATATGACAATGACAAACCTACAAGTTATCAAAAGCTTGGTACGATCTGTTGCTGCTTCGAAGAATTGCGTCGTAAAGATTGGAGGGAAGAATGTCAATATTAAGCCTGCATTTGTCATTGTAGTCACTCATTGCGATCAATCGTCAAAGGTAAAGCAGCTTGTACGTTGGGAGGAAACAATTCAGAAAAAAAATTCCGAGCTACTGTTAAGTCTAAAGGAGTTTCTGGATCTCTTCATATTCTATAATCGTGAGTCCAATGAGCTGGTTTTTCCCGTCAACAATCTCTGTCTGAAGAATCGTATGAAGATATCGGCCGATATACGTGAGCGTATCATGTCTCAGTCTAATTCTATTAGTTTCAGTGTTCCAATACCAATACGTTGGTACATGTTTGAGATCAAGATGAATGAAGAGGCTGCAGTTAATAAGGAGATGTATGGAATGATATCACTTGAGTCATGCTACACTGTTGGTATCAAATTAGGAATGAGTCAATCAGATGTTAACCAATGTCTAGTGTACCTTGATTCGTTAACACTGTGCATCTACTACCCAGACATTCTCCATCATGTGGCCTTCACTAATCCTCAGTTTCTCATAGATTGCCTCTCTAATGTTGTCAGAGTATCTTTCGTTGATGATGTAAAGCAGATATTACCTGAGGAAGTCAGCCTGCCTGATGATGCTCAACTGGTACTCAAAAGAGATGGAGTTTTTAATGAATCACTACTGGATGATCTTGGATTAGCTTTTGTTCCTAATCTCTTCTCAAAGTCAGATCTACTTTCCTTGCTTAAGCACCTTTGCATAATCTCACCTATTGATACTGCTGCTGCTGCTACTCGGTATTTTTTGCCAATTGTTTTACCACCGGAAAAAATAACTGCAGAGCAGAAAAAATTATTCACTGAAAATTGTGACCCACTTGTCATTACATTTAATAGTGACATAGTACTACAGGTGAGACACAGAATACTGGTGTGTTGTATTACTGTCTGTAATTAATTTTTGTCATTGTAGGGTTTGTTTCCAACATTAATTGTCTCTTTGTTAAGTCGACAGAAGGAGCCTTTCTTTTTTATTGACAGCAAATCTCCCTTTTTTCCAAAGCAGCTCCGTCATGCTGTCAAGTTATACTCTGAAGATTTATTTGGATCCATCATATTTGTTGATGAGGTCAAGTATATCGAAGTTTACTTTACTGGAAGTACTAAAGATTGCTATCATCTTCGGTCTGTTATCTTAGAGGGTCTGTCTGTTAGCGCTGCTGCATTAGCTTACAATGAGGAGGAATTGGAGATATCTGCTGTGACATACTGTCATCATAACCATAGAAGACGTGAGACTAAAAAAACACCTCATCCCATCAGTATCTCGTACAAGAGAAACCCTCCAGAAATCAGTTGCAGTATTGAGACTGACCTTCCATCCATTGAACTAACTGATAAAAGACAAAGCTGTTGGCTAATAGGTATGTTTACTATGTTGTATTGAACATTAGCACAACATCTCTCCCTTGTAGGATCAGTTAATTCTATTTCTTCAGCTCAAGTCTCGAATTTTTCTACTGATAAAAGTATATCAAGTGAGTATAACACTATTGTGTGTGTTAAAATTTAGATTTATCAACTACATCAGGTGCAACTTCTACTTCGTTACCTGTTGCAACAGCATCAAGTAAGTATTTACACATATAATTGTGTATCTATCTACTCATTAGGTACTGTGGTGTGGCCAAATGAAGATGTCATTTTTACTGAGGGGACTGTACTAAGTGAGTGAATATTAAAATTTTTATTACTGATAGATAATTATCTTATTAGATAAGAGCCATGCTCCTATTATACTAAGATCTATAAGAAAAATAGTCTTTGAATGGGAGGATTTAGGAACATTCTTAGGCTTAGAAACTCATCAGCTGCAAGAGATTAAGTATAATTCTAATAATCAAGTTCAAGTCTGTCGTAAAGATATGGTGCATCTTTGGCTGGAGACTGGTACTCATACATTACAGGATTTGATTACAGCACTAGAGAATGTAGAAAGAAATGATGTTGCAGCTGATGTTAAATGTTTGACAAAATCCAATAATAAATAAGCTTTGTAACTTAATTATTTTATCATTGGTTTTTATTATTAGTATTAAACTATGCAATTGCTATTTCTTTTTTAGCCTAATGGATAAACTTTTAAATTTAAACTGAAATGCAAGTAGCTATAAATGTGCATTTCCATTCTTAATTATTTAGAATATTTATTATTTATATTATAAATATTAATATTATATTACTCATGAGTAATGAATGCTGTTATTTATTATTTTTTTCTTGTGTGTTATGACTACAAGTTGCTTTTAGCCATTATTGATGAATTAATTTTTCTGTTTTGTCCTTAAAATGTGATCTAGACAGTAGATAAATCTTACTAATGGATCAAAGTGACTGCACCCAATAATTATATAGATTTTCTCAATAGTGCCAGATCTACAAGCATGTACATCAACTCAGCATTGATCATTTTTTAGACACAATATCTGTAAGAATAAACTTTAATACCTAAGTATAGGCTTCATATAATTTGTCATAGCATTCACACATTATTTTGTCAATTATAAAATCCCATAGTACAT